CTGTCAGTGGTCATTTGCCAGTGGTCATCTGTCAGTGGTCATCTGTCAGTGGTCATCTGTCAGTGGTCATCTGCCAGTGGTCATCTGTCAGTGATCATCTGCCAGAGGTTATATGTTAGTGGCCATCTGCCAATAGCTCTCATCAAACAGGTTTGGCAGTTGAGAAGTAGTTTTATACTTGTAATAGGGACGAGACTGGTTAAATTCTTTCCGGCACCTGAGTTACATAGAATATGGAACAAGATGATAAGATTAATGATATATTCTGCGATAGAAAATGTATTGTTCAGTTTACTCTGTTGTGTTTTATGGTCGTCATGGTGATCACATCGAGAAATGTTCTATTTCTTTGTGTTATATGTAGCTTTACGTATTTGATGCTCGTTAGTTGGTTCCATTGTTGTATACCTTACTCTCATTTGAGAACGTGACATTACTAACTTGGATTGACCAAGGTTAACATGGCTGCTTTTGATGAAGCAGAAGACGCTTACTCTTCTAGGACACGTGGTCTTATTTTCCTTGTAGTGTTTTAAGGAGTCTTCGTGTAAATCTGTTCTTTTTTCATATTTAGCCCGAGTTTATGGAATTTGAGTTTGGATTTTGATTATATTGCCATGTTGGTACAAATATTTACAAACAATACCATCCCTCCAAGGTCACGCGGCTTCAAGGTCGTACAAAGGGAGGTAACCAGGTAATCAGAAGTAATCAGAAGTAATGAAAAGGCAGAATCGAGAAAGCAAATTTTCCTGGGGAATTCCGACATAGTGAAAATAGACGAGTTGTTTCCCTTCGAACATATTGGAAAACCTCTGTGTTACAGAGAAACGTTTTTCCTCTTGTTCACAGAGAGGGTGGATTTCGGTAGAACTGCCAACTGACCCACAACATGACATGTTTCTCCAGATGACAACGAGAAATCATGATTTTTGTTTTCTTGTTTAGCTCAATATTTGTTATATTCTTCGTTTACACAATATTTAGATCTGGTAGGTATTTTTAGTAATGTTTGGTTATTTACGTCAATGTGTAGGTTTTGATTGATGTAAATAAACCAATGAATGACAACGGTTACTAATGTGGAGACGCGCCCTCTTAATTCAGGCGACATGTGGTGTTATGACAAATCTTTGGATTAAAATCCCATTGGACGAAGAAAAACCAATATTTTGTTCTAAAGGCCTCGATCAGTATGCATTTTACCTAAAGACTTTGCTGACAACCTTGATGGAGTTTATAAAGTGTTGACGTGAAATGCTTGTTCAGTAAGGAAATACATCAACGATCATTCCCGAAATACATCAACGATCATTCATGGAATACATCAACGATCATTCACGGAATACATCAACGATCATTCACGAAATACATCAACGATCATTCACGAAATACATCAACGATCATTCACGGAATACATCAACGATCATTCACGAAATACATCACCGATCATTCACGAAATACATCACCGATCATTCACGAAATACATCACCGATCATTCACGAAATACATCAACGATCATTCATGGAATACATCACCGATCATTCACGAAATACATCAACGATCATTCACGAAATACATCAACGACCATACATCCTCAGACATATGGAATGGAATCATATTACGGTTTTGAATTGATTTTATTTTTTCGTAAATGGTGTTTTATCTTATACATCAAAAATGTATGTGAAATTTCAGATATTGAAAGGACGTTATGCAAATGTACAACATAAAATATTCAGGATTTCATTTTGTAACAGTGTGTCCAGTTTATCACGATATTTGAGTGGAAAATGTTAAAATTATCATTGGTTAAAAATCTATATTTAAATTAGTTCAGCATTTAAGTTTGGATGTATATAGATACGATGTAAAGATAAATGTAACTAAAGAATTTGAATTTAAAACAGGTGTCTAAAATACACAACGATTTAGACATAAAATGTGTCTTAGTCTTGGTTTTTTAAATAATTTATCAATGTTGCATGTAGAGGTTTTGTTACACTAAAAACATAGTTGTTCGATGTTAAATATTTGAGTACATTCAGGTGATGACATTTGCTTAAGAGAAGCTTATCACAAAACTGGTGTTTATTCCCGGACGTCGTTGTTAACACCATTTGTATTAATATAAAGCAATGAATAATTTTACTACATTTAATTATATCAAATGTAAGAACTTTGTAATTGTAATCCCTATCCCCTATGTTAACACCGTCCTATCATTGCAATTCCCAGTCCGTGTGTTGACGCCGTCCCATTATTGTAATCCCCAGCCCCTCTCTTGACACCGTCCTATAATTGTAATCCCCAGCCCTTGTGTTGACGCCGTCCTATTATTGTAATCCCCAGCCATTGTGTTGACGTCGTCCTATTATTGCAATCCCCAGCCTCTGTGTTGACACCGTCCTATTATTGTAATCCCCAGCCCTTGTTTTAACCCCGTCCTATTGTTGTAATTACCAGCCCCTGTGTTGACAATGTCCCACTATTTTAATTATAGGTCCTGTGTTGACGCCATCCTATGATTGTAATCCCCAGTCCCTGTGTTGACACCATCCTATGATTGTAATCCCCAGTCCCTGTGTTGACGCCGTCCTATTATTGTAATCCCCAGCCATTGTGTTGACGTCGTCCTATTATTGTAAACACAAGCCCATGTATTGACACCGTACTTTTATCAAAATCCCAAGCCCCTGTGTTAATGCCGTCCTATTATTTGTTATTCCCAGCCCCTGTGTTGACGCCGTACCATTATTTTAATCCCCAACCCCTGTGTGGACGCCGTCCTATTGTTGTAATCCCCAGCCCTGTGTTGACGCCGTCCCATGATTGTAATCCCAAGCCCTGTATTGACACCGTACTATTATCGAAATCCCCAGCCCCTGTGTTAATGCCGTCCTATTATTCGTTATTCCCAGACCCTGTGTTGACGCCGTTATATAATTGTAATCCCCAGCCCCAGTGTTAATGCCGTCCTATCATTGTAATCCCCAGCCCCTATTTTGACACTTTGCTATTATTGTAATTCCCAGACCCTGTGTTGACACCGTCCTATCATTGTAATCCCCAGCCCCTGTGTTGATGCCGTCCTATGATTGTAATCCCCAGTCCATGTATTGACGCCGTCCTATGATTGTAATCCCCAGCCCCTGTGTTGACGCCGTCCTATTATTGTAATCCCCAGCCCTGTGTTGACGTCGTCCTATGATTGTAATCCCCAGCCCTGTGTTGACGCCGTCCTATGATTGTAATCCCCAGTCCCTGTGTGGACGCAGTCCTATTATTGTAATCCCCAGTCCATGTATTGACACCGTCCTATTATTGTAATCCCCAGCCCTGTGTTGACGCCGTACTATTGTTGTAATTCCAAGCCCTTGCGTTGACGCCGTCTTATTATTGTAATCCCAAGCCCTGTATTGACACCGTACTATTATCGAAATCCCCAGCCCCTGTGTTAATGCCGTCCTATTATTCGTTATTCCCAGACCCTGTGTTGACGCCGTTCTATAATTGTAATCCCCAGCCCCTGTGTTGACGCCGACCTGTTATTGTAATCCCCAGCCCCTATTTTGACACTTTGCTATTATTGTAATTCCCAGCCCCTGTGTTGACACCGTCCTATCATTGTAATCCCCAGCCCCTGTGTTGACACTTTGCTATTATTGTGATTCCCAGCCCCTGTGTTAACGCCGTCCTATCATTGTAATCCCCAGCCCCAGTATTGACACCGTCCTATTATTGTAATACCGAGCATTTGTGTTGACGCCGTCCTATTATTGTTACCCCAGCCCATGTGTTGACGCCGTCCTATTATTGTTATCCCAAACCCCTGTGTTCACGGCGTCCTATTATTGTTATCCCCAGCCCTTGTGTTAATAACGTCCTATTATTGTAATACCAAGCCCCTGTGTTCATGCTGTGCCTATGTTATTGTGATAAGCATTCCCATCCCTAACTTTGACGTATTGCCGATGATAACAGCCTTCAGTTTTTACAACCCCTGTGTTGACACTTATCCGTGATTTAAAATTCTCCGAGTTGGTTCCTTCGTCCCGTGCTCGTGGAATAACTGAGTTGGTGTGAGACTCCCCTATCGTAGTAAACAGGCTCGCTTCATGGGCCGCCAGTGGGTAGTGTTTAGACGTCGCTATGACTACATCTGCTGCAACACTGGGCACAAGGGTAGATCGATGCCACTGCATATCAGAGCCGAAACAATCGAACAAATATTTCTTCCATTCCAAAGATAGCCGTCCCGTGGTTTTATCAAAGAGCCAAATCTCAATCATCACTTTCCAGTTTGATGTCTAGATGTAAAATATAAGCTAACCCGTTATTTGGCCGATGTAGTATTGCTAAGTCTGGTGGTACAGGTGAAAAATCTTGTATACAGGTAGGTATAAGGTAGACTGTATATTGGAAAGGTATCGATTGAAACAATTGATTTGAATTAATTATTCATGTACGCATCGTCCCATGTCGTACAAACTATTAGAGGACGAAGAACACAGTATGGCTGCCTGACGGGAATCCGTTACACGTGACCAGTGAGTTAGGTGACTATGTATGTAAATATAAGTATATACAGACAATTACAATATCGACGTCATCATCATCGACCCGCGAGCCGCATTCAAACTTGGTTCTCAGGTGTACATGCGCACTGCCCGTCATTGGAGCTTTCAATCGTCCTGTGTAGATGATTCCTTGTTTTATTAATGCTGTTTCTGTAGATTGGAATTACAAAAGACCTGACATCCGTACAGCCAGCTCAGGAATAACAAAACAGGAATACCCGTATTTTTATCTCTAAGGTATCATCTAACTGTTTTAGATATACACACTGATATCATGATAACAAATATTTTTTAATGAAAATATGGATTACACAGTTATAAATATGCCAGGTTTATGTGATCATTTCCTGTGAAAATTGGACAGGACAAAAGTGAGAAAGAATATTCTCTTGTCAGTGGAAGTTGATTAAGACTCAGACAATGGGCGGATGTACTTCAAAAAGTAAAAACAAGAAAAACTCATACCTCCTGGAAGTGCACGAGGGTCATGAGATGGGTATCAACTGTATGGCACTCAGTGAAGATGGGTCTGTCATCGCGACCGGAAGTGAAGATAAAACTGCGCGTTTGTGGAGTGCTAAGACTGATTACTGTGAATGTATTGGTATATTGAAAGGTCACGAGGAATATATCAACTGTATCGTCATAGAGGACTGCTATGTGGTGACCGGAAGTGCTGATAAAACTATGCGGAAGTGGGATGTCAGCACGTGTGAATGCGTGCTCATCTGTCGAGGTCATACTTCGGTTATCTACCGAATGATCTGCACGGGGGACTTTCTGTTTACTAGTTCCTACGACAGAACTGCCCGCTGCTGGGATTTCGACAACGGTGAATGTTTGAGAGTATTTCGAGGTCACAAACGAGGGGTATATCCTCTAATATTCATCCCAGCCGACGATGAGGAAGATTTGGCCGAAGACCATGTAGATCTAGATGGCGGCACCGATATTCTAATCACGGGGTCGGCAGATTCCACAGCGAGGTCCTGGAATTTTGAGACAGGGCAGTGTATGAAGGTGTTTAAGGGCCACACAGGGGCTATTACGTGCATGGCAACGGACAATGTCGGTCGTGTACTTTTCACCGGAAGTACCGATAACTCTGTCCGGAGCTGGAACCTTATAAAGGCGGAACCAATTAAGATTTTCGAGGGCCATACAGCGTCTGTGATCTGCATGCAAGTAAGTATACATGTTTTGTAAAGTAATGTTTATATATGCCGAAATTCACAGAGAACATAATACGAGAAATGATGGAACGTTGTTTGAGTAGGATAGAACGTTGTTGAACTTCTTGTTGGTCGCTGGTGCTGGCCTACTGACCACCAGATGTTCCGAAAAGAGAAATGAAACGATGGGGAGGAATACACTTCCGTTACGCATTTTTAGGAGATAATAAGATAAGACGAGATCCGTGGTCTCGATCTCCTTTTTATAAGAAAACAAAATAAGACGAGGCCCGTGGTCTATCTACGACAGTAATATTTCTGATTCAATCAAAGTATATGTGTCTTTGTTTAGATTTAAAACACAAATCTGATACGTCTGAAGGTACACGTTACATAAGTGACAATTTCAAATGTTTCCAGAGGGCAATATGAACTTTTCCGGACAAAAACATTTACAGGAATGGTTCATGGTCTGGCAATTTTCAAAATTGTCACATGGAAAGGTGATTAAAATAACGACTTGACATTTTAGCTAAAGGCCTAAGATAGAATGGGTCCCTATAAGCTGTCTTCAGAATCTTCCTCGAAGTGAATTTGGTAGTAGTTTGTTTTGTTTGTTTTTTGGGGTTATTTATTTATTTATTTATTTTTTGCGAGATAAACATTGATCGATTAATGAAAATAATTAAATATTTTAATCAGAGTGATATATCTACTTACATTTGTATTTTACTTATTTATTTCGATGACATATCAAGTAAGTGTAAGGAGTTTAAATAGCGATATTGTGTGTATATGGATGAATTTAAAAAATGAATACTTCATTGGGACAAGGAGAAGTAGCACTACGTAAATCCCGGGAAAATCTATAATGACTCTCTCATATCCGCCATTTCTTTATCACGCCACGGATTATAGAAGGTCATCGTCTCTAAACCTAAGTCTCAAACTGAAGTCACGTGACAATTAAAATATCGACTGTTCGAACGGAAGTATGGTGTCCGCCATTACATTCCTGTTTAATATTCTACGGTGTAGCATTTACAAAGTCAGATGTGGAGATTTTGTACGGCAGTCATAGTGATCTTACCGAGAAAAAATCTGTTTCTCTTTGTGATGTGAAGCTGGACGTTCGTTATTTTGCCTTTTGGTTCCGTTGTTGAGAACGTGACAATACTTAACAGGATTGACAAAGATTTACATCATGGGTTGTCGATGAAGCAGGAGACGCTTACTTTTGTAGAATACCTGGTCTTATTCTTGTACTTTTTCAGGAGTCTCGTGTAAATCTTTCTTTGGTTCACAGTTTGCTATAGTTGGTGTTGAATTGTGATTTCGTAAACATTTCGATATCTTTTGATGTTTGTGTAGTACCAGATCATGAATTTCCAATTGGAGTAGGAGTGATGAAGACAAATTAAAACCCCTTCGTATAACAAGATTTATATGATAAATATGACCAGCTTTCAGTTGAAATGCCATCTGGATCAATGCAAATTCAAAATAAAAAGCATCAGGTATTTGCCCTTATCGAGTTGGCATGGATGTAGTGCCCTTGATACGGTAAGCTGGAGAAACTAAAAACTGAAATGGAAAATTCACAACAGAAAAGTAGACAATACTCCAGAAATGGAGAGTTTACCATGGGAGAGTAGATAATATATAATATAAAGAATCACTATTCTGGTAAAAATGTTCTACATCGATATGAAGTTGATGGAAATTGATAAAAACAAACTTTATCAATCAGAACATCTCATATGCCTGTTGGTTCCGTTGTTGTATACCTTGTTATCATTTGAGAACGTAACACTACTTACTTGGATTGATCAAGAATAACATGATGGGTGGTGTCGTCGATGAAGCATAAAGCGCTTACTTTTCCGGAACACCTATTCCTATTTCCCTTATAGTTTGTCAGGAGTCTCCATGTAAATCTTTATGTTATTAATATTCTGCATTAGTTTAACTGTACTTGATTGTGATTTTGTTGATATCTTGGTCCTCCCTTATTGGCATCCATAAACAATGATATGAATTACGAGGATGATCACCTACAAGACGATATTGTTATTATTTACTTTATAAGTAATTGAAGTTATTGTCTTGGTGTGAAAATCATTCATCTGACAGAAGCCAAACAGCTGTTATAAGCGAACTTTTTTTGGAAAATAACATTTAAACAGGCGTACCTCTTTCTTTCTATATTAGTGATATTGTGAATGACATTAACTTTACTTATGACAATTACCTGTACTGTTGCCGTTAATACTATCGATAATGATCCTTTAAGAATACATACCTGAACTAATTTGTTGTTAGGAAAATAAAATCAAGTTGGAAAAACTTGTTTCGTTATTATTGTAAAATAAATCAATATTATTAAAGAAGCAAGATTCACACGTTACCTGTAAAACTACAATGATTAAGACAAATACAAGGATAATAAGACCAAGTGTTCCTAAACATAAAGCTTCTTTTGCTGCATCGACCACACCCATCATGTAAATGTTCGTCAATCCAAGTAAGTAATGTCACGTTCACAAATGAGAACAATGTGTACAACAACGGTATCAATGGGCGGATACACAAGCATTAAACCAGGTAAATTAACACAGGCCCCTAGTATTACTGACGTATAATGCAGTCTAAATCATTGTTTGGCTCTACTGTAACTAACTCTAAATTTGTTGTTAAAGGTGCCATTCACTTGTGTGTATTTTGTACAATCTTTATCATTATTCGGTTCTGAAAATTTCTTTGCCATTGTATGTACCTGGGAAAAATTGATATGTCTGAAGCTTGCTTTCCCAACCAATAGATAATAGAGTAAATTCGTTGAATACTGATATAAAGTGTTCATGTACTATGTACAAAGGTTTAATGATGATAGACAGTTAAATACTAGCATGTCTTACGCTGTGTTTGTTTAAAATAGAAACAATTACAATCCTTGCGTTTCATCCTTTTTTGTGTCTTTAAAACTGTCGCTAATTAAGCATTTTAAGTTTCAGTGTTTTATTGTGATCTCGGAGACTTTCTACATACATTACACCCCCTAGGGTAACATATTGACTAGCTGTCGCCGAGTGTCGCACTGATGATTGATCATCTATAATTTAAAATGCAATTAACGCTGTTAAACTGTTCAATACCTAACATAATTAGATAACACAAATACACAAAAACCAATACAGGAATTTCATTTTTATAATATCAGAATTATTATTCTACCATTCGAATTAATGGAGCGTTCAGTCGTTATTAAAAAAGAAAATATTGTTTACGGGAAAACTTTCGTTGCAGCTCAGCTTTTACAATTTCGCTTTTTTGTTAATTGGGTGGAAGCAAAAGAGCGACGAAAGGCTGAAATAAGTAGTTTTAGGGCAAACTTAACGCGGTAGAAGAGAGTAATCATCACGAGTGTTTCCCGATATCTAGTACTTGATAATATTACCACATAATATAGTATTACTTCCTAGTATAGTCTCTGGTATTGGTTTTAGGAGTCGATTCGTGTATGGATGCACTACAAAGTTCTTATCAGCTTTATAAGTAATTCTATTGAAGTATGCTGCATAACTAATAAATAGAAAATTATCACACACAAAAAAAAAGAAGGGGGGGGGGGGGGGGGGGGGGGGGGGGGGGTTTCACCCCTTCAATGAAAATCATACATCGTACACGTTATTAATGACACATATTTGAAATAGATAACACTAATATTTCTCTAATACATAAATTATCATAGGAAAAATGGGAATGATTATCATATCATCTGTAACAGATTAAAATATCAGCAACACTGTAGTTATTGTCACGACAACATTGATTTTTCAGGTTAATTAACATTATATAGTTATTGTCATACAATAATGTGAAACATCAATATGTTTATACACTGGGGTTGTTATTAATGAATTGGCCGAAACATTAACTAAACTGATTTATTATTTCAAAACACTTGTTTCATCATGAATATGTTTATTCATCTTGAACAATTATTTCCTTTTATCAATTAACATTACCGAAGAAAAAATAACGCGCATAAATCACTATTTCATTTATTCGTGAAATTTTAATAGCATTAAACGATAGATTTGGTCCCAAATTGTGACTAAGAAATTACACGTATGTTTAAAATTTAATAATAAAATATTCTCAAATGATAAAAGATCAAAGGGAGAAGTTTCTGAATGGGTTTCTGTCTTTAGTGATACAATCGACCTATATAACAATTAACAAGTGTTTTAATCACCATGGTGATCAATAAATATCACGACATGATACCACTTCCGTTTTGTACAAAATCGTGATAAAAATTCATACTTGTATTGTTTTCTGACGAAATTCTATTTGGTTTCTAATTGGATAAAACTGTAGGATATCAGATCTGTTTATCTCCATAATGATTATTTAGCCCCCAATAATCGTTGTGACACACATCCTACGTTTAAATTCACACACATTTACGTGACTATGTTATTATCTAAAAATACGAAAATCAACAAATTTATTGATATATGGAGCTAATGCACCTCTTTGATCTCGATTTTGAAATGTTTTTTCGATCATTTTGGATTTTCCTCTTTCGCCTCCTTGGTTTTAAAATTTAGGCCCTTAACACCACTGACATGTCATAGGCCAATATGATGCAATATAATTCTAATTATAGATAGCTTTAATTATTTATTTTGAAATTTGTATTAAATAATGATATTTTTACTTTTCTTTTGTACAATTTACCTTATATATATATAAATATATATTCATCATTTCAACATCGACTTCTGATGTAAACAGAATGCGCTACTACAGAAACTATACGAATCATGCTTTTAAAATTACTGATTAAGGCATGTTATATTTTACATATATTTGCATATAAATATTGGTCAAGAATTGGTTTTTGCAAAAGTGTGCCAAACTTGATTGTAATTGACTTTAAAACATTCGGGGTTAATAAAATATTTGAAGTAAAATTGATACACCAAAAAACATCAAAAAATTAAA